ATATATGTAAAGAAAATCACGACACAACTATACTGATGTCGATACTTTTCTTAAAGATTTAAATTTGCCGCGTTTCCGATAGCGCTACTAAACAAGGAAGTAGGAGACGCTACCTCGCGAACCCCGGAAGTGGGCAGTCGATAGATTGAGAGGGAAGAGAAAAGACACATGTTGTGAAAATGCGAAAAAAACTGTTTAATTAAAAAGTATAGAAAACATACCGGAAATAAAAGCTTTAAATGTTGTTTCTTTTGTTTTCGCAGGTATGATTTTGTGAAATTAATGTAATTGGTGTAAGTTAAAAGAAAAACTTGTACATAGTGTAAAATAGAACTTTTGTTTTCGCAGAGAAACGCAGTTAGTTTTTATTCCAAATATCCAAAAGCCAAATTGAATAATTAAACACATTACATATATATATGTATATATATACATATACATATATGTATGTATATATACATGATAATATACATATATACACATACGTGATAATATATTTACACAATATATGCCTTATAATCTATCAGAGAATCGTCCGAAATACGAGTCTCTCGAAAATTGGAGATATGGCATTATATCCTCCAAAGGAGTGCGTGTATTTACGTTTCGTAAAATAATAAAGATGTAGCAAAAAATAACTACATCAAACACGTACTTTTATAATGTAGCACGAAAAATGCTAATAAATTACCATTCGGTATATTATCGATATATTTAGTTTCGTGCTACTCCGTGTAAATGGGGGCGCAGCACCGTCTTACATTGATTTTCCAATAAAATCTCCAAAATCTGTATTATCGACCTTAATTGAGTTCCGCCGTTGCTTTAACATCCCCTTAAACTATTACCAGATGTTTTGTCGGATTTTAATGATTACGAGAAAATGTTAATCAAGAGAGTGAGCAGCTTCCAAGCAGTACAAACGATGGGTGCTGTTTCCAACAAACATATGCCGCACAGATAAATGATTCGCAAAGTAAAAGGTAGAACATTTCATTTGCCTCTGCCTTTACAAGAAACTTTGGATAATGTATGTCCTCCGGAAGATTCTATCAATTTGAATCACAAGTTGTACATCCTAGTTCGAGGTATACCTAAAACGTCTAAAGTTGTTTGGGAAAATTTAGTGGATATTAACAAAGTGTACAAGGCTTTACAATGGTTGAAAGACCATAATCCTCACTACTCGAAAATTCGTCTTCCAGCGTCGGCTGACGATCTTATAAATGATAAGTTACCACAAACGGAATATCGGATCGTTCATGACGAAAGCGATAGTGATGAAATAGAGGAGATGGTTGAGGCGCTGTCGAGGTGTACTGTACATAACAAGCATAACGAAGATAACAATAATGAAACCGTTTTAAAACGTAAAGCTTTCCTCATGCAAATTACTATAGATTCAGGTATTAATGATCAGTATACAATATACCCAATGCACGCAAAAAGAATCGGTAACGAATCTGCATTGAAACTCTATCAAATGTTGAAAATTGAAGATGTTCCAATGGATAATCATTATAAATATCTGGATGTCATGTCTTTCCCCGATTTATATTCCGAGGGTGTCAATGGACAACGAGAAGATAGAAACTTTGCATTGCCGGAATATTTATTTGTCGGAGCGCGGTTGATGTCGAAACACAGTAGATTCAGGACGAATCTGCAGTATTTGTTCTTTCTTCTGAATGATGCTAACTACCGACAATTGAAAAATGGAATGTATTATACGATGATGGTTGCTAATCCACGAGAGAGGTACACTGCTGGTAGGTACTTGAACGAATTGAAAGACAATCAATTGGAATCGAATTTAATGAGTATTTTTGCAAAACTGAGAAATACGGATCAATTTTGGCGACAACCGTCCAATAATGTAAAGTGTATGACTCTGCATTATGGTCCGGCGACGTGGTTTTTAACTTTAAGTCCTAGTGAATGGAAATGGTCCGATTTGGCTGAATATTTACGAGACATGAATTCCGATAAGGAGAAGTTGGGTATCAGCGAACTAATCGCATACGATCCGGTGGGTACGTCTAGATTCATGTGTATAAAATTTAAAGCCATGATTGATTTTATTTGTTCGTCCGACTACCCAATAGGAGAGGTCATTCATTACTTCTGGCGACTGGAATATCAAAGTAGAGGTATCCAGCACGTACACTGTATGATTTGGATAAAAGATGCTCCAGTACTCGGAAAATCGTCAAATGAGGAAGTTGTTGCGTTCATTCGAAAATACGTGACGTGCGAAATTCCAGACGAAAGCGTTTCGCCAATGTTGTACGAAACGGTTATAAGTGATCAAAATCATAAACATAACTCGTATTGCATGCGTACGAAGAAAACGGAAACGAATATTTACAGAAAATGTCGCTGCGATTTTCCTCGACCAGTTACTGAAAATTTTGTTTTGAGAGACCTCATTACTTCGATAGTGGGTAGGAAAACTTTACGCAGTAAGAGTAGATCGTACGATCTTCCTCGGAAGAAGTCGGAAAGGTTTATCAATGATTATAATCCGGCTATTAAATTAGCTTGGAAAGGAAATATGGGCATACAGTTTATTTGAGAACAATCAAAGTTTTTAAACTCTTATTTAACAAAATACACGACAAAGTCGGAAAAATGCAATATGGACTTTGCAATGATAGATTCCAATAAGCCGTTGGCATCGAAACTGTGGAATTTTGCGATGCGTTCATTGAATAATAGAGAATGCGGTGCTTTAGAAGCTGCAGATACACTACTAGGTCATCCCTTGCATGGTACGGATAGTGTTACCATTATCAAATGGATTGATGTTAATGAAGAAAGAAACAGAAAAGTTAAAACATTCAATGAAATTAAAGCTCTACTCGATGAAGAATCTACAAATATTTATTGTCCGTCGCTCATCGATGATCATTATCCGAAAAGAGCTAAGGAATTGGAATCATTGAATTTGTACGATATTTGTTACGATTTTGCTAGATTTTGGGAAATTACGAAACAGATGCCAAAAAATGACGAAGTCGAATATTATAAACTTGTATCGGGTTTATTTTTAAAAAAACGAAGAAAGTGTTGTTTAATTAACCATTATCGATTTAATGTTAAAACTGAACCCGAAAAATACTTTTACTCGCTACTTCTTTTGTTTAAACCGTGGAGAGATTTGAGTGAACTGAAAGTCGCTTACGAGACTTACACGGATGCCTTTAAGAATTCAGAGTCTGCTTTGACAAAGGCGATGAAATATCACGAAAGGCTCGAAGAAATATAGAAAGCTTTTGAGAACGTAGCTGAATTAATCGCGAAGCGCGAAAATGAGCTGAAAGCAGACAGAGAGAGAGACGACAACTATGAATTGGATTGCAATCCGATAGAAGTTGGCGGCGCGATGAAAGATCTGAAAGATTTTGGTGAGATTGACGTCCCGATTGATTTATCGCAAATGATGTCGCGAATGAACGATGACCAGAAAAGAATCTTCGATAGAGTATGCGAAGTGTTGCAAAATAAAAATCAGATTCTGCGACCGTATGTAAGCGGCGAGGGTGGTACAGGGAAAAGTTTTCTTATTGAAACGATTAAACATTGGATCGGAATAAATTTGAAAAAAGCGATTGCCATATCTGCTCCCATGGGTATCGCGGCATGCAATATCAATGGTTTGACGATCCATAGAATGTTTCAGCTACCTGTTACCCATGAATCCATGGCAAAGTATACGCACTTGTCAGATATGGTTTTGAAAACTTTGAGAGAGAAATTAAAGAATGTCGAATTATTTATAATCGATGAGGTTTCCATGATTTCGAATGTGACA